TTTTTTTTTTTTTTTTTTTTAGTGTTCCCCTTTTCTCCAAATCAGCTAATTTTACGTTACCTAGGCTGGTCTCAAACTCCTGGGCTCAAACAATCTTCCTACCTCAGCCTCCCAAAGTGGTGGAATTACAGACATGAGCTACCATGCCCCACCGTAACTTGAGACTTTAGATCAGATACTTAACCCAAGTTTTCCTTTCCTCATTTGTAAAATATGGATAATATCACTGACCTCATAGGGCTATCGAAATGATGGAAGGAAATGACACAAATAAAGTATGTGTTATACGTCCTTCCTCCTTAGCAGTTTATTGTAGTATTTCCTACTGTAGTATTCTTTTTCAGTTTCTGCATTTTAAACAGACTAATACTTTGCCAATCTCAAGAAAATGACAAACCCCACATTTGCCTCTGCCCAGAGATTGAATGTACAGCACACACTGGGTACATAATAACCTTTGTTCAACTAGAGTGGTGTTAGTTGCGGATGGATTCTTGGGGTACACAAACCAAGTCACCCGGGAGAGAGATGAGATGGTCTGGGCTCTCTGACTGACAGTACCCACAAAAGCAATTATTAGACATTTCATTTTCTTTCTGAACACAGGAAAAAGATATTTTATGCATAATCGTTAACACAGCCAGAACCCTAATGGGAGCTTCTTAAATACAAAACTTTCAAAATTTTTCAGTTCACTGTTAAACTTCATGAGGATAGACAACATGTATTATAAACCTTTGTATTTATGACACTTTGAACTTAGTAAGGACTCCATAAATATCTACTTAAACAAACAAAACAAAACAAAACAAAAAATAGGGCCAGGTACAGCAGGTCACTCCTGTAATCCAGCACTTTGGGAGGCCAAGGCGGGTAGATCACCTAAGGTCAGGAGTTCGAGACCAGCCTGGCCAACATGGTGGAATCCCGTCTCTACTAAAAATACAAAAATTAGCTGGTTGTGGTGGCACATGCCTATAATCTGAGCTACTCAGGAGGCTGAGGCAAGCGAATTGCTTGAACCCAGGAAGTGGAGGTTGCAATGAGCCGGGATTACACCACTGCACTCCAGCCTGGGCGACAGAGCAAGAGACTCTGTCTCAATTAAAAAAAAAAAAAACCCCAAACCTGTTCTTTTGTATTATGCCCTTCTGATCAACTCTACAATTCTCCTATATGTTGATACCTACATGCTAACCATGGATATCTAGTGAGAAACCTAAAAATGAACAAATCTGACTCCGGAGGCTCAGGTCAGTCAATTAAGAAAACCAGAATCTTAAATAGGTTACTAGGAAGGTAAATAAACATCATATCGATACAGGCATGAATGAACTATCAAGGCACACTCCATTAAATCACCAAGAACTCACAGAGGCAAAGGTGCCAATCTGTTTGATATTCTGTTCATAGCTTTGTGAGCTGGTGGGACGGCCGGGGGTTCTCCTGGAGTACCAAAAAGTGTAGTTGTACTGCAGGGGATGCTCTGCTGGTCCAGGAACAACAGCCTGGGAAGTAAAGAACGTGTGTTAGTCCTGGGCATTTGTCATATGGTCTGAGACTGAGAGAACATTTTACAGTGTCAATCTTTACCACCTCCACAATTAAAAAAGGATATACGACCTCAACTATCCGCAATGTGCCCAAGATTCTGCTTACACAGTACATTTCCTCAGTGGTTAACCGATTCCAAATTCCTCTAACACTTTACCTGTGTTCTTATGGCCTTTGTAACTTTCTGCCTCATATAATAACAGGTATTCACATTTGTATCTTATCTCAGCCTATGCCCAGTCCAAGCACTGCTTCCTCTATGAGATTCATCACTGTCAAGTTACTTAACCTGTTTGTGCCTCATCTTCTTACCTGCAAAATGAGGAAAATAATAACAACTATCTCATAATACTGCCGAGAGGATCAAATGAATTAGTGGATATACAATGCTGAGCAACTGGCAGAGAGTACGTGCACAACAGATGTCAGTATTGTTATTACTGGTACTATTAAATGTAAGCCCCTTCCACAGTCTCATTCCCCTTTGTGTCCTCTTAGCATCTAGCATAAAGTGGCTTGCCCTTGGAGTGCTACTCAATATTGCAGAATAAATGAATTAGTGATTGCTTTGATATTTCTTCTTTTTTTTTTTTTTTTTGAAACGGAGTCTGTTGCCAGGCTGGAGTGCAGTGGTATGATCTTGGCTCACCGCAGCCTCTGCCTCCTGGGTTCAAGCGATTCTCCTGCCTCAGCCTCCCCAGTAGCTGGGACTACAGGCATACGCCACAGCACCCAGCTAATTTTTGTATTTTTAGTAGAGATGGGATTTCACCATGTTGGCCAGGATGGTCTCGATCTCTTGACCTAGGGATCTGCCCACCTTGGCCTTTCAAAGTGCTGGAATTACAGGCATGAGCCACTGCACCCAGCCTGTTTTGACATTTCAAGGAAAAAACTGATCTCTCTCTCTCTCATTCCCTAAGTTTTCCCTTTTCCAAGTCACTTTCACCTTAGACTATTGTTGACTAAACTGTCTAAAATTTAAAAGGGTGTGTAGCATTTGAAACACTCAGCAGTGGCCTAAGAAGTAGCTAACAGCCTTGTTAAGCTCCAGGGCTAATCTCCTCCATCTCAGGCTAGGAGAATGCTCAAAGCAAGGCAGCATCTCAAGATTTTGCGGCAAGAGAAAAGTTCTAGGTCCCAAAATGAACGTCAATGATTGCACAATGTTTTTCTGAGAACAAAGTCAGATATTCCAACACAGGATGCCATCAAGTTAATCTGGTATCTTCCAGATAAACAGATTCCACAAGACAATAAAGTCTCAAGTTCAAAGGCAACTACAACTGTGCAGGGCAAAACTCACCTTTCTCTTGCTACTGCTCTGATTCTTGTCTCGTTCCGTTTTTTCCTTCTCACCATCTTTCTGTGTGCTGTTTTCTTCATTCTGATCATGGTCCCCACTGTCATCATCTTTCAAACTGAATGGAAAGGCAACATAATGCTATTCTGTGATGAAGTCAATTCTTGCTTACCTAACAAAGCCACCAAGTCATATGAACTACATGTAACCAACCCAAAGTCACTCAAATTCAGGCCCTGAGATGTGAGAAGGGCAAAATAATACAGACAGGCAAATTAGGAGGATTAAACAAAAACGAAATGCCCATCAGCTAACTTGTGAACTCCAGAAAGCACTGTCTTTCAGTTTTCTAAAAAGGCACAAAAAGAACCAGTTAAAGGGACTGTTTAAGGTATACAGTTTAAGGGATTGTTTTCCCTGCCAAAAATGGAGTAAAAAATGAGAAGAGTCTCTAATGCTTTGGCATTTCAAATGAAGGTTAAAAACGTACTATCTGCTTTGCCACTTCTCCTTACCACCTCTTCTACACTTCCCCACTGTCACTACTTTAGTTTAGGCCCTTCGCCTGACATCTCAATCATACAATAAATTCCTCAGTGGTCTTCCTGACACAAATCTCTCACTCTCTATCCACCCTTTCACCAGCATTATCTTTTTAAGTGCAAATCTGACATTTAACTTCCATGTTTAAACTTTCAACGGTCCCTCGCTTCTTGATGCCTACCCTCTAAGATAAAGTACAGCAAAATGTAAGATCCTCTAGAATCTGACTCCTGCCAGCCAGGATCCTCCACCTCTAGCAATCTATATTCCCGTATCGGTGCCATTTGCAAACACCACCCCTTCAGTCTGCCACACCATTCCTCCCATGTCTGTTTTTCCTACTAGAGAGCGAGTTCCCTTAGAGCAGTGTCTTATTTCATCTTGGTATCTCCTGCACCCACGGCAAGATGTTGCCTTAACATGCAGCACTAGAAGATGCTGCATAAATGGTAAATCAAAAGGAAAAATAAATGACTGAAAGAATAAATGTGTTCTTGCTTCATAAGCACAAATGTACTTTAGGGATTACCCTCCCTTTCATGAGCAGCGAAACTACCCCAAGGTTTTCAGGTACACCTAAAAATCAATGGATCCAGACAAAAAGATAAATGGAAGGTGAGTTTGCAAAGACAATAAGAAAACCATTTATTCTAGAGTTGGACCATTAACTCATCAGAGATCTCTCCAATCATCTTTCTTGCCCCAATAACTACATATGTGGTCAAATGAAATTAGGCAGTTCTCAAGAATGGTACAAGAAATGCTCCAATTATAATTCAGATACTATCCTATGCAGATACATAAACATGTTGCAGGGTACTTTGCGGTTTTTTTTTTTTGTTTTTTGGTTTTTTTTTGGCCCATGAATCCCCAGTGCCTGATACATTAAAAGCACCCAATAAATATTAGAATGAATGCACTAGTCACATGTTGGGGTCCCTGCTCTCCCCATTTCACAGGCCTAGCTGTAGGATAATCTCAGGAGGTTATGCCCTGTGCCATGAACCTTCCCATCCCTACCCTGGTCAAGACACAACTAGAAAGGGCACCTGACCAAAGGGCAGTCCAGCCCGGGCAATAACCTATGCCCCAGGGCCTTGCTCAAATATATAAGCAGATTCCTCCCCTCAGCATTCATCTAGGAGGAGAAAGATCATAGACTTAGGAATTGCGGCAGCCATATGCGCCCCATGCAAGAAAAGCCCTGAAAGAATTAAGACAATGAGCAAAAGCAGAGAAAGCCAGGAGATAAGAGATAAGAAAGCCAGGAGATAAGAGAATGGGGCAGATGAGCAGAGAAAATGCAGGGGACTTTCATTTTGTTGCTGGTGCTACCATCTCTCTGGCTTTTATTCAGCCTCCCTGGACTTTCAGGAGACCATCATCTGCGCTTATGATATTCCCTTCCCCTTTATTAATCATTTGGTTTCCTTTTCAAAAGGAGCCTGTCTAGCACACAAGATCTATGGATTAAAAATTACTAACATCTATCAAGCATCTATGGTGTGTATGAGCTACCAGAGTGCTTGTCCCCAAGGACCTAGCTGAGGAGAAAAGGTTCACAGATATATCCATGCCTCAGCATGGTGCAAAGGCCCCTGCTCTGCTCACATGTCCCAATATCATCTCCTTCCTGGTCCCAATGAACTCTTTTCACTCCAGTTGTATCATCCTAATTTTGATGCCCCAATTTTATCCTTCTGCTGTGCTCATCATGTGGTCTCTCCTCAAGAAGTCCTTCTTTGCCTAGTTAACTTGTCCTACAGGACTCAGATCGAGGGCCACTTTCTCTTGGAAACATTTCCTAACCTCTCCCGACCTAGGCTAAGTTGGGCTCTCCTCTTCTGAACTTCCCCATATAAATGTTTGCACTTGTTCCAGCTATACTCTCATGGCCAGTTCTGTCTCCTGATCAAGAACATCTCAAGGGTTCTTCTGCTTAGGCCCAGGACAGCTCTCAACTCTCTTCTTTAGGGCACACCCCTGGGATGCAAACCCTATTCCTCTCTTCTTAGCTTCCAACTCCCACTATAGCCTCTGGGGTCCCTTGCATTTAGATCTTGGTTGAAGAGGGGTATAGTCATCCCAGCATCTTGTTTTTGCTAGTCCCAAGAAAAGCATATACCTTCCTTTCTTTTTAGTGGTTTTGCTGCTGATCACTACCAGGAAACAGAGAAAAAACTAACAAAAATAATTGTCAGAAAAGAAACAATGTTCCTGTGATCCCTGGACCACTTCGGATTCCTTTCTAAGACAGTAAATGGGAACCCTAATGGACCTACACCTAGTGCTTTTATTACCTGAGGGTGGAACTAACCAACTACTCTGCCCTCTAAGCCTACATTTAAGGCAAATCTTATAAGCTACTCTTCCCAGCTTCAAGCTGGATTTGAGTCAAGATACCACTCAGCCTGAAAAATCAGTGCTCTGTAAACTCGGGCAGTCAGGTAGCAACTCTGAGGCTGTCCAGACTGAGAGGAACTTTAGTTAGCTTGCTAAGCTTCTGCCCAGGTATTTCCTCACCCTCTGAACTAGACCAATTCCTTGTGGACAAGACCTTGGTTCAATTCATCTTTATACCCCCACCATCAGACAGTGGCATAAAACAAATTTCCATTTAATGAATGGGTCTATAGAATCAAAGCAATGAGTGCCAAATACATGGCTTAGACAATAGTTAGGAATGGGCCCAAAGTTAACGATACAGAATAAAAAGCAAATGATGTAGAATACGGACAAAATCAAGTACAGTGGTCTAGATCTGAAAACCATGTTTAACTACGTCAGGACTGCAGTTTTTGTGAAAGCATCTTAGGGTTTTACATATCAATAGGATCACTGGCAATGCGATCTAAGGACTTGATAGGTCTACCCCCTCTCCACAAAAGCAATTATAATCAAAGGTTTCATTCAGAGAAGTTGAGTCCATACAGTAACGGAGATTAGAGCTAATCTTTAATATGAGCCCATTAGATTATATACTACTGTACTCAGCTCCAGCCACTGGACTTCTGGAAGAATTCTGGCAAACTGGAACATGTCCTTAAGAGCAATGTGGTAAAGAGTGCAGATTAGTAAAGAGAGCAATGTGATAAAGACTCCAAATATGCAGCAATGGCCTAAAAACTGCAGAATTTCTGAATGAAAAACAACATAAAAAATAAAACTAGGGGCAGGAGTGCTGTTTTCAGTTGCTAATTTCAAATGAAAGAAAGCTTGTTTTTCTTCTTCCTGCAATGCTAGAGGGTAGATGTTAAAAGATTCTGGCTCAATATAATAGTTAATAATTCAAAGTGATTAAAATGACCCAGGTTCTTCAATCATAGAAGAGCTAAGATAAAAAAGTGGACAAGTTTAATTTTTCTCACAAGGTGCTTGAACCAAGGTTACACAACAAACCTGGGATAGCCCTTCCTTTCCTGTTGTCTTGGGCATTACTTAATCTCAGAGTCTCCTTTTCCTTATCTGTAAAAGGAGATAACAAGATCCCCTTCACAGAGTTGTTAGAGTAGAAATAACATATGAGGCTGGGGGTGGTGGCTCCCGCCTGTAATCTCAGCACTTTGGGAGGCCAAGGTGGGTGGATCTCTTGAGTGCAGGAATTGGACATCAGCCTGGGCAACATGGTGAAACCCTGTCTCTACAAAAAATACAAAAAAATTAGCCAGGCAGGGTGGCACATGCTTGTAGTCCCAGCTACTCTGGAGGCTGAGATGGTAGGATTGCTGGTGCCCGGGAGGTTGAGTGGGCAGTGAGCTGTGATCACACCACTGCACTCCAGCCAGGGTGACACAGTGAGACCCTGGCTCAAAAAACATATATATATGAAAAGTACCTAGCAAGATCCCTGTGGAAGTCCATTATTACCATTCTTACTGCAGACCCCCAAATGATTTAGGTAGGCCTGAGCTAGATGACCCATAAGATGTCTTCTTAGGATGAAATTTGGTTTGTGCAAATCAGTGGAGGAAGGGGTATAAAGGTTCCAGAAAGCTCCACTGAGGCAGGATGTGGATCTGGAGCTAGGTGTTGCAGGGTTTACGATAGAGATGAAATGGGACTGCAGTGTGGGAGAGGTTCGTAGAGGGATAGGCTCAGTTAAACCTAAGGATAGAGAAGAGGTCGGGCAAAGACTTTCTCAAGTAGCAGAGACCTCTCAGCAACCAGCAAACGTGCCTGAGGACCTACCTGCCTGGAGTGTTGGAAATCCAGTACTCCTTGAATTTGCACAGTACTCTCTGCATTGGAAAAACCCTAATTTCCCATCAAAAGACAAGGTCACAACCTAAACTAATAGTAATTCCACTTTACGTTTATATCTCAGTAGTTAGCAATGTTTCACAAGTATCTTTAAGCATTGCTGAGTGTGATTTGACCCTTATCACACCCCGCTGTGGCAGCAGGGTACTAACCACTAACGTGGTTTGAGCAACAATGGCTCAGAGACTGGGTAACTTTTCTACAGTCAAACAGCTGGTAAGTGGTGAATCTGGGACTACAAATCCAGGCTTTCAGATGAAGAGACAGATTTACTAGACTACTGGAACAGAGGTAGGAACATATTCTACCTCAAGATACAATCCTTGGAGGGGGATAAGTAAAAATACTTCTGCATTTTCCCTCTGTACCTCCAAACTGTTTGATGCTGAAACTAGAAACCGGAGCGGGCAAGAGAGGGCGACAAGTATACCCAAGTCTTGGCGAGTGTGTTGGAAGACGGGAACGGGAGTGGGAGGAGAAAGAAAGTAGGAAGAGTCTCAGGAAGATGCTAATTCCTAAGCCAGCCTTCCACCGTGTCGAGGGCAGCCGCCACATTACCTCATTGCATCCTCCAAACTCTACGACAAAGGGTGTTACCGTCCCCACTCTGCAGATGAGAAAACTGAGGCTCAGAGGGGAGAGGGAGTGTGTGGGGAAAGCTGGATTCAGAGACAGCGCGGCCAGACTGCGGAAACACCCAAACCGCCGAGGTCCCCACCCCTCCACGTCGTCGGCAATCCGCATCCACCGGGGCGGGGCGTCCGAAAATCTCCCCCTACCCGGCGGCACAGCCACCCCTCCCCCGGGCTCAGCTCTTCGCCCTCGGTTCGGACGGCCCTGGGGTCTCCAGGACCCCGGGATCCATCGCTCCCCAGCCCCCTCCTCCCCGCCAGCCCAGGCCAGGTCCGGCCGCAGCCTGATCCCGGCAGGGAAGCCGGGGCCGCCGGGTTTGCGCCGCCCCAGCCCCAGTGGGGGCGGGCGCGGGGGAACTGTTGGGGGAAGGGGCCCCGGGGGCGGCCACGAGCCACTCACGCGTCGAACTTGTTGTTCATCCTCTCGCCGCGGCTGTCGCCACTGCCTCAGGGAGTGACTTCCGCTCCACCGGGTCCCTCAGCCTTAGGCCCGGGTACTTCCGGTTTTGCGCGGGGCACAGCGGAACGTCCACGCGCAGGCCCGGTTTGGGGGCGGCTATCTCAGAACGCCAGCCCAGGGCGGCTGCGCAGAGGGTTGGCCTCAGCGGCGGAGCTGGCTTCAGGTCTCAGCTTTGTCGCCGTCCAGGTCCTGTGACCTGCCCGCTCTCCTAAGGGAGCGTGTCCAGGCGCCCTCCCGCAGCGCCTCCGAAAAAAGGCAGCACCGCGTCGTTGACAGCGCGGGCTCTGGACTCGCTGCCTGGTAAAAACCCTCCTCCTCCTCCAGTGCCGGACGCACTCTCCGGTATCTCTCTTAACCTTCCCGAGGCTTTCCTTTGGCGGCAGCGCCACTATACTGTGGCATACCTCGTTTTATTGCGCTTCCCAGATAGGACTTTCTAAAAACAAATTGAGGGTTTGTGGCAGCCCTGAGTCCAGCAATTGTATTAGCGCCATTTTTCCAACAGCATGTGTTCACTTCGTGTCTCTGTGTTACATTTTGGTAATTCTCAAAATATTTCAAACTTTTCATGATTTCTGTGTCTGTTATGGTGATCTATGATCAGTGATCTTTGATGTTGCTATTGTTTTGGGGTGCCACATACAGCGTCTTTTATAAGACCGCGAACTTAATGTTGTGTGTGTTCTGACTGCTCCACCCACAGATTGTTCCCCATCTTTCTCCCTCTTCTTGGGCCTCTCTATTCCCTGAGACACAACAATATTGAGATTAGGCGAATTAATAACTCTGCAATGGCCTCTAAGTGCTCAAGTGAAAGGAAGAGTCGCACGTCTCTCACTTTAAATCAAAAAGTAGAAATGATTAAACTCAGTGAGGAAGGTATGTCAAAAGCCGAGATAGGCCGAAGGCTAGGCCTCCTGCGGCAAACAGTTAGCCAAGTTGTAAATGCAAAGGAAAAGTTCTTGAAGGAAGTTAAAAGTGCTACTCCAATGAACACACGAATGATAAGAAAGCGAAACAGCCTTATTGCTGATATGGAGAAAGTTTTAGTGGTCTGGATAAAAGATCAGACCAGCCACAACATTCCCTTAAGCCAAAGCCTAATCCAGAACAAGGCCCTAACTCTCTTCAACTCTATGAAAGCTGAGAGAGGTGTGGAAGCCGCAGAAGAAAAGTTTGAAGCTAGCAGAGGTTGGTTCATGAGGTTTAAGGAAAGAAGCCGTTTCCACAACATAAAAGCACAGGGTGAAGCAGCTAGTGCTGATGTAGAAGCTGCAGCAAGTTATCCAGAAGCTTTAGCTAAGATCATTGATGAAGGTGGCTACACTAAACAACAGATTTTCAATGTAGATGAAACAGCCTTCTGTTGGAAGAAGATGCCATCTAGGACTTTCACAGCTAGAGAGGAGAAGTCAGTGCCTGGCTTCAAAGCTTCAAAGGACAGGCTGACTCTCTTGTTGGGGGCTAATGCAGCTGGTGACTTTAAGTTGAAGCCAATGCTTGTTTACCATTCTGAAAATCCTAGGGCCCTTAAGAATTATACTAAATCTACTCTACCTGTGCTGTATAAATGGAACAGCAAAGCCCGGATGACAGCACATCTGTTTACAGTGTGGTTTACTGAATATTTTAAACCCACTGTTGAGACCTACTGCTCAGAAAAGAAGATTCCTTTCAAAATATTACTGCTCATTGACAATGCCCCTAGTCATCCAAGAGCTCTGATGGAGATATACAAGGAGATTAATGTTGTTTTCATGCCCGCTAACACAACATCCATTCTGCAGGCCATGGATCAAGGAGTAATTTCGACCTTCAAGTCTTATTATTTGAGAAATACGTTTCATAAGGCTCTAGCTGCCATGGATAGAGATGTCTCTGATGGATCTGGGCAAAGCAAATTGAAAACCTTCTGGAAAGGATTCACCATTTTAGATGCCATTAAAAACATTCGTGATTCATGGGAGGAGGTCAAAATGTCAACATTAACAGGAGTTTGGAAGAAGTTGATTCCCACCCTCATTGATGACTATGATGGGTTCAAGACTTCAGTGGAGGAAGTAAGTGCAGATGTAGTGGAAATAGCAAGAGAACTAGAATTAGAAGTAGAGCCTAGAGATGTAACTGAATTGCTGCAATCTCATGATAAAACTGTAACAGATAAGGAGCTGTTTCTTATGGATGCGCAAAGAAAGTGGTTTCTTGAGATGGAATCTACACCTGGTGAAGATGCTGTGAACATTGTTGAAATGACAACAAAGGATTTAGAATATTACATAAACTTAGTTGACAAAGCAGCAGCAGGGTTTGAGAGGATTGACTCCAATTTTGAAAGAAGTTCTACTGTGGGCAAAATGCTATCAAATAGCATCGCATGCTACAGAGAAATCTTTCATGAAAGGAAGAGTCAATTGATGAGACAAACTTCACTGATGTCTTATTTTAAGAAATTGCCACAGCCACCCCAACCTTCAGCAGCCACCACCCTGACCAGTCAGCAGCCATCAACCTCGAGGCAAGACCCTCCACCAGCAAAAAGAGTACGACTCACTGAAGGCTCAGATTGATCATTAGCATTTTTAGCAATAAAGTATTTTTAAATTTAGGTATGTATATTGTTTTATTAGAAAATGCTATTGCACTCTTGCTAGTCTACAGTATAGTGTAAACATAACTTTTGTGTGCATTGGGAAACCAAAAACATTCATGTGACTTGCTTTCTTGTGTTGGTCTGGAACTGAACCTGGAATATCTTTGAGGTATACATCTTCCTACCTCCTCAGGTTACTATATGGATCCCATGAGACAGTAACCTATAGTAATGGCAGCCAATTTGAGTGCTTACTGTGTACAAGGAGCTAATCCTTTGCCTTCTGAGGCTTTCAGAGAGGTTGAGAGACTAGTGCCAGATACACAGCTAGTAAGGGGCTTATGGGAAGCTGAAATGACCCCACTGTCACCAGATTCCCTCCCTGATCAAAGTTCTCCCCCACTCTCCCTAACTCCTCTAGGACTCTAGGGCTCTGACTCTGCTCTTGCTTCAAACACACTGCGCATGCACAAGCACAGACACACACTGGAGTAAATAAAATGAACTTGCTGGTGATTGAACCCCAAAGACAGCAATCCTGTGCTTGGAGGGAGGGCATATTTCCAAGGTCCCCTCCTGCCATCATATCCTGTTGTCAGGCCTTTATGTGGCACTTTCACTTTTTTTTTTAGTTTTGTAATTTTTTTTTTTTTTTTGAGACAGGCTCTTACTGTGTCATCAGGCTGGAGTGCAGTCACATGATCACAGCTCACTGCAGCCTAGACCTCCTGGGCTCAAGCGATCCCCCCACCTCAGCCTCCCGAGTAACTGGGACTACAGGTATGCATCACCACGCCCAGCTAAGTTTTTATTTTTTGGTAGAGACCGGGTGTCCCCATGTTGCCCAGGCTGGGTTCTTGGGCTCCTGAGCTCAAGCAGTCCACCACCTTGTCCTCTCAAGGTGCTGGGATTACAGGTGTGAGCCACCACACCTGGTCGGGAATGGATTATTTTTTGCACCTTATTTACCGATGAGGGAACAGGCTCAGGGAGCATAGGTGACTTGCCCAAGGGTGTCCCCTGGTTACCAGCCGAACTCTTGTGCCAGCTGTAATCTTAGAGCAGGACCTCGCCTCTCCCACAGGAAGACCCCAGCTTATTGCCTTACTACCTGATTAGTGGGGTCAAGGGAGGCCAAAGTCTCCTCCTGGAATGAAGAACTCAGTGGCTTTCTGTTAACTCCACACTCTTCTTGCCTGGCTCTTCCTTGTCTCAACCATCCTTTGGGAAGAAGGGCCTGTTTTTCAGGCCATAGAATCTTAGAATGTCAGATTGGGTCAGAGTCAGGAATTCTGGACTTCAAACCTTGTTTAGCCACCAGTGTTGTGTGGAGTCCCTCTTACTCTAGGCTCAATTTGCTAATATAACACGGGGAATAATGATTCTTGCTTGTCCATACTGCTGTGAGGAGCTCTTAATTAAAATGGAGGCCAGGTGACCTGGCGCGGTGGCTCACGCCTGTAATCCCAGCACTTTTTGGGAGGCTGAGGTGGGCAGATCACAAGGTCAGGAGTTCGAGACCAGCCTGGCCAACATGGTGAAACCCCATTTCTACTAAAAATACAAAAAAAAAAATTAGCTGGGCGTGGTGATGTGCGCCTGTAATTCCAGCTACTCAGGAGGCTGAGGCAGGAGAACCACTTGAACCCAGGAGGCGGAAGTTGCAGTGAGCCGAGATTGTGCCACTGCACTCCAGCCTGGAGGACAGAGCAAGACTCCATCTCAAAAAAAAAAAAAAAAAAGAAGGAGGCCAGGTACAGTGGCTTATGCCTGTAATCCCAAGGCTCAAGTGGGAGGATCACTTGAGCTCAGGAGTTCAAGACCAACCTAGGCAACATAGCAAAACCTCATCTGTACTAAAAATTTAAAAGTAGCTGGGTGTAGTGGTGCATGCCTGTGGTGCCAGCTACTTGGGAGACTGAGGCAGGAGGATCGCTTGAGCCCCGGAAGTTGAGGCTGCAGTGAGCTGTGATCATGCCACTCCACTCTAGCTTGCATGACAAGAGTGAGGCTCTGTCTCAAAACTAAACAAAACAACAACAACACATCAAAAACTGGAAAAAAAAAAAGGATTACAAAACTCAGGAAATTGTCTTGTGGTCAGTGGTAGAAAAATGCACACGAATGGAAAGGCCACTGGGGCTTTTGAGAATTGGGTGCTTACTGTACCCAGAAGGCACAGTGGGGAGATGCCAGCTGGCATGGGCTGCTGCCCTGCTTTGGAGAGAGCATTGGCTGCTACTCTTCACACCTCTCTTGACTGCCCTCTTTCAGGGAGAACTTGTAAAAAGGGAGCCAGTCCCAAGCCCGAAGGTATTACACAAAACAGTCCTTTGGACTTCAGATTGATGGGAGTGAATAATGCTTGGCCTCAGTGAGGGGAGTGCGCTGAGTGGAGGAGCAGCTATTGCCAGGACAAGCTAGCCAGTCCTGCACGCATGCTGACCGCAGCAGCACACTAACCACAGCCCACCCCCAACCGCTCCCGGACTCCAGCTCAGACTCTTTCCCCAGCTTTTCTTAGGACTGTGTGGCTCACACAGCCCTGAAGGGCACTTCCCAAAGAGTACACTTAGGACCTCAGTAGGAGAACGTGGCTGATAAGACTCAGTGTGACCCATGTGTGTGACTCCCACATGCCCCGCGGTGGTTGGTTGGCTCAGTCTGGTGAGGGCAGGTAGGAGCGTGGATCTCCAGGGAATGGCAGGGCTGGCACCCGGTTGTAGTGGGCCATGAGGAAGATGCCAGCCGTGCCACAGACGAAAAGTGAGAGCATGGCCAGGAAGCAGACGCGGTCCAGCACTCGGCCCACCAGGAACCACTCCTCATTCCCCTGAGGATGGGAGTCAGGTGTCGGATGGCCTGCGGCAGCACCAGGTCTTCCCTGGGTCCCGTTCTCATCCTTGGGCTTCCATGTCTCCATTTCCTGGGGCCCTTCTTACCTATGTCCAGGTCCCAACTGGTGGCTAATTCCATGGTCCCCTGGCCCTGAGATGTCCCTGCTGCCCCTGTTCCTTTTTCTTTCTTTTTTTTTTTTTTTGAGACAGAGTCTCACGTCTCACTCTTTCACCCAGGACAGAGTGCAGTGGTGCGATCTCGGCTCAGCTCACTGCAACCTCCACCTCCCAGGTTGAAGCGATTCTCCTGCCTCAGCCTCCTGAGTAGCTGGGAATACAGGTGCCCACCACCACGCCCAGCTAATTTTTGGTAGAGATAGGATTTTGCCATGTTGGCAGGCTGGTCTCAAACTCCTGACATCAGGTGAATCCACCTGCCTCGGCCTCCCAAAGTGCTGGGATTACAGATGTGAGCCACTGCTCCCAAACTCCTCTTTTTCCATCCCACGGCCCTATCTTGGCCACCCCACTCATCCTGTCTCCATCACAGGTCCAAGCCCAGGTACTCACTCCACCTCCACCCCACCCTGACTCAGCTTACATTGTCAAAGTGACTCTGCTGGTGCCGGGCACGGGCAATGAGGTTGCAGGCTTCCACGCAGGCCTGGATGGCTGGCGCAGCCTGCTTCAGGCTGCCACAGAACTGGCTCGGCTCTAACTCCGGGGCTTTCTCTGATAAAGAGAAAGGATAAGGTTTGGGAGTAGAATGGAGGAGAAACAGGCAGAGAAGATGGCCTCTCCTTAGGGACCCTAGCTGCTCTCTCCCTGACCTGGACACTTCTCCAGCACTCATCTGCTGTGTCTGGCTCCCCAGCTGGAGTCCCAGGGGAGGAGTGTCCCCAGACACACCTGCAATGTCTCACCTAGCTTCTCCAGTGCTGCTGCCACCAGCCCTTGCTGCTGCCACTGCTGGAAGAGGAGTTCACTGCGAGGCAGGCAGAGGGCCACCTCCCCAGTTGTGATCGACCATCCCGAGGAGCCATTCTGTAGCCGGGGCTGGGTGTCCTGCACAGCTGCCGGGGCCAGCGGGCGAACGTGCATCCTCAACAGCTGGGGCAAGAGCCTCAGGAACACCTAGAGAGGGGGTGGCTTCACTAGGGCAGCCAGGCCGAGCTTCAGAGCAGAATCAGGAAGTTGGTGTTAAGGGCTTGTGCTGCTAGGCACATACCAGGGCAGTGATGTGGCCTTGGTAAAGCTCTGTACTGGACATGAGCCTGGGTCCCCAAACTTCAGTGCACATCAGAATCACCAGGGCACTTTTTACAAACACAGATTCCTGTCCCCAACCCTCATGCTATTCTGGCCTAGAATGCCTGGGGCAGGCCTGGGAATCTGCATGTGCAACAAGGGCCCAAGCTGAAGGCTGCAGGTGGGCTATAGATCACAGACTAGAATCAGACTACCCTGGGAGACTCTTGCTTTTTTGACCTCGTAGTGCACTTTCTTGGGCAAGTTACTTAACCTCTCTGCGCCTCAATGTCCTCATCTGTAATTGGAGATGATACGGATTTTATGAAGATGAAATACATTAACATTTGTAATATCCCTGGCACCTAGGAAGCAATTTCATTACTGTATTACTGTAATCGATTTTGGCCCATGCTTCAAGATACACCCAGGATAGGTGTGCTGTGGAAGGTCGCAGGTGAGGAATACGGCCAGGGGCGTGTGAGAGGGAGGTGTAGGGGAGTGGGCAGCAGGATGTTGAAGTGGGCAGGGAAGGTCCTTGCCTTGCGGACCCCTCGGGCCATGGAGTGTGTGTGTGGGGACCGCAAGGACACGTTGAGCACGACCACAGCATTCACGACAATGAGGATGGTCACCACCAGGAGGAAGGTCAGGTACCTGTCAGGGTGGGGTGGGCAGGAGCTGGCAGCCCATACCATGATGCTACCCCCACCCTTAGTGGCTGCCCCCCTCAGGCCTCCTGAATTGAGGATGCTGGGGTGGATGGAGGGCAAAAGGGCAATGCAGGAGGCCATTGTGCTCCCAAGAAGGGAGAGTGGGGTAGGCGGGTGGGCATGAAGACCAGCCTTACTTGCTAATGAGTGGCACCGCCTGGGAGGTTTCAGGCACCTTCTTGGCCACAAGGAAAAGGAAGACAGTCTGGGCCAGGAGCACGTTGATGGCGACGGTACACTTCTGGCCCCCAGCTGCCAGTGACCAAGAGGCTCTCAGAGCAGGTCCCTACCTTCCCCACCCACAGAGGAAACCCT